ACTTGTCAATCATAAAATTAAAGAAAATAAATTTTGACATATGGTCATATTGAGCAAAATGTCATAAAAGTATTCTTTCTCTTCCCAAAAGAAGTTTATAAAAAACGGGGGAGAAACATGATAAGTTTTAAAGCAATGAAAATATTTCTAAAATTCATCTAATACTATTTTCTTGTCTAAAGCTCTGTGTATGCATGTTATCACAAAAAACTTTAAATTGTATTTTTATCATCATAAAAAGTGGGAAGATAGTTAGCAACAAAAGGAGGAATTGAAGTTAAGAATGTTTTGATGATGAATTCAACACATTACAATTGATATATTAGAATAATTCGTTGTTCACTTTAAAGCTTTTGTAATAAGTCATTTATAGTTATACATTAGACTTAGTTTAGAAAGATACATAGCAAGTTGCATAGACTACTCAAGAAAAATCCTTATTTTAGAAATACTCTGCAATAATCGATTATCACAAGTGGTAGTTGATTATCCTGGTTAATTTCATAATTTTCAAAAAGCCTATAGAATAATCGATTACCACTTGTGTTAATTGATTATCATAGAGAGAAATATTTTTTTGAAAAAGTCTTTGGAATAATTGATTATCATTTATGATAATCGATTATTAATAGTAGTTGCAAAATGACTCTTCAATTTTCTGACCTAACTTTAAAATTTTGGGCCTATATATACTTTGCCTCCACAAATTTCGAACGATTAATTATTTTGGAGAAATTTAGTGTTGTTGCAAAGAAACTCTTTGTGCTTTAAGAAAAGAGCTTGTAAAACCTAGTATTAGTAGAAGTAAGTGCTTTCACTTAGTGTGTCTAAGTGAATGTGCACGGATAGGAAAAGTTGCCCATCCTTTGTTTGTCAAAGCAAGTGTTATTCATCTCTTGTATCTTCAAGAAAGGTGTTTTCTAACCTTTACTCTACTATTTGTTGTTGTAAGTTCTAGTTATTTAGTGATTAGTTAATCCCTCTTTAGACAGATTAACAACTGAACGTAAGATCTTTTGATTCGAATTAGTATAAAACTGTTTGTGCAACTTTCTCTTTTCCTACACTTTTTAACTTTATTATTCTTATTTAAAGTAATCTACTCTTGTTATAAAATCAGTTTATAAACAAAGAATTTTTTAAAAGGCATAAATTTTATTATGTAAACCAATTCAAAGACAGATTAACAACTGAACGTAAGATCTTTTGATTCGAATTAGTATAAAACTGTTTGTGCAACTTTCTCTTTTCCTACACTTTTTAACTTTATTATTCTTATTTAAAGTAATCTACTCTTGTTATAAAATCAGTTTATAAACAAAGAATTTTTTAAAAGGCATAAATTTTATTATGTAAACCAATTCACCCTCTCATGATTTTGTCTATGCACAAACATAATATTTCTAATATTACTTGTTGAAGTAACTCAATGTCTTGCCTAGAGGGTTTTGGACAATGTTACTTGTTGAAATAACTCAATCCTCGCTTGGAGGGCTCTTTGGATAATGTTAATTGTTGAAGTAACTTGGTGCCTCACCTAAAAGGCTTTATTAATATTGTTACTTGTGGAAGTAACTTAGTGTCTTGCCTATAAGGCTTTATTGATGATGTTACTTGTTTAAGTAACTTGGTGTCTCGCCTAGTGGGCTTTGTGTAAACAATATACATGAATATAAGTTAAAATGAGGATTTTATTGGAAATTAGGTGTGCGTAATTAAAACCTTTCCCAACAAAACGTAACTTACGAATAAAATCTAGGAGAAGGAAAAAAAGTAACATATCCTCGACATACGTCTTTAAGTGAAAAATGGTGCATACATCCTTGAAATGTTTAATTGTAAAAGGTATGAGATCAAGCTCGCCCTGGAGGTTATGTGTTGTCGTCTCTAGGAAGTCTCGTCAAGCTCTACTAGATGTTTTATGTCGTGCTAGCTAAGGAATTGTTGAGGACATGGAGTGATGTGTTTGAAAGAACGTCGACTATCACATGGAAGCTTGGCCCTCAAATCAAGATCAAAGGTGTTTGCCATTTAGGTCAGCTTTAGTGACCTAGAAATGTTGGTTGACATGATTGCATTACTCCCCTAGGTTTAGCTCTATCTACAGCGAAACAGGTTGCTTGATTATTGTCGGGTCAAGTGAAGGGCTGGTGTTGACCAAATTACTTGAGGAAGTATACAGTGTCATCCTCTGGTTGAGGGCATAATAGATGCTTGCCTCTTTCGGGTTCGTCTTGGTAGTGATGATTGTCAAATGTTCCTTGACCGGGAATTTCACTACCATGTGCAGGGTGAACACAACGACTTCGAGCTTGTTCAACGTTTTTTTCCAACCAGGATGTTGTAGGATGTGCTTGTGTCAACTATGAGGTATTTTACCATCATAGCTCGATGGGCTTTAGGCATTACAAAGGTTGCTAGTTGGTCAATATACCTTTTGGTATGGACTCGTTCTCTAGCGAAATCGAACAGAGGTTTTGGATAGGGTTGAATTACGTTGGTGGGGATGTCCAACTTTGTAAAGGTGCGTTAGAATAGGACATCAACCAAGTTGCCTTGTCTCAGAAATTTTGGGCGTGTACTTGGGAAGCCTAACGTTATTCTCGATTTACGTGTCTATCAAGATTTCCTGTGGAATCCTAGGACTTTGACGATGTTTTCTGTGTTATGGTCCCGTTTTTAGTGGTGGGAACATCCACGAGTTCCTCCGTTTTGCACCAAGTTGACCTACTCCAGTCTCTTTAAGTTCTATTTTAAGGGAACCGGTCACGACTTTCACACAAACCTCACCATGTTGGCGAGTTGCACTCTTCTTTGGTATTATGCAAACCTTTTTCCTAGGAGTTAGGTCGAGGTCAGGGAGGTGATTTTTCGTTCTCCAAATCGGTCAACTTCTGTTGGAGTTCTTGAAGGTTCGCCTAATGTTGAGCGCATAGGGCTGCAATTTGGAATCATAACGCTCGTGTTGTTCTTCATTCTCGAAGTAACGTTTGCATATGATATTGAAGAGTTGTCACAGATTTCAACTTGTTAGAAGTTAGGCTTGACTTCGGCTGGTGACCATGGGAAAGTGAGGCTAGGGAAAAGTTTTAACGAGACCCATACTGAGTGCCAAATATTCTTATCAGGATCCTAAGTGTGGTTCTTTGAATAGGTGGTATGGTCAAAGTGGCTTTTAGGTCTTTGACGTGTTCTTTTGAGGATTGGAATACGGGGAAATATCCATTTGTAAAAGACTCTTCGACGCTCAAGTTAGTAAAAAAATTTTAGGATTTATACAAATAGAGTAATAGGTATAAGTGTGATTATTAGAATGATTGAGTATTTCTTGAAGAATAATAGTTGTATTTATATGACTAACATTTGATCTATGTTGAGATAAAATAATATTATTAAAATAATACTTATCTCAAGTAGGTAATAATGACGAAGTGATACCTTAACATAAATAATAATCATAATATCAAATTGATGAGATTAATTACAATTTCGTGAAAAAACTTAATAGATATATTTTGGATTATTTCAAAATGTATTTTGGACTATTTCAATATTAATTTTAGACAATTCCAAAATAAAACCTTATTAAATTTAGATTTAAACCCTCGGTTGGTCCTCTTATTTATATGGGAATCTCAAATGGGTCATCATTTTTTTTTCGGTCTCAATTGGGTCATATTTTTTGTAAAAATGAGCAAATTTTACCCTAACCGTTAAATTGTTCCAAACGGCGTTAAATCAGGTTGAGGTGTATTTTTTGCATTGATGGCGTGGCATTATGCATTTAATTGAATTTAATTGAATGGATGATGTGTTTTAAAATCATCAAATCTCCTTGGCTACAGTGTTTCTTCTTCCTCCAACCACTGATCACCTTTCATCTTTTTCGCTCCTCCGCCCAAGTTGTTTTCTTCCCACTCCCACCCTCAAACCCTCACTCCCCAGACACACCCTTTCTCCCTCTCAAAAACGCTACCGTCATGTGAGAACAAAAACCCCAATCTGGAACAGAAACCCCAATCTGGAACAGTCAAATGTAATCTGGAACAGCTACAGTCATGCTCTAGGCTGTCAACTGATGCAGTTTCTATGATGTATCTGTCTTTCTTTCGAATATAATCATCTTATTCGTGGCAGCTGGAGCAACCTTAAAATGAAGAAGATGCCTCCCAGGCGTCGTGCACTCTTCTACTCAATCCATGCTTTTCTCCAAAAATAATGAAAACATCCGTGAAGCCCCCCAGTGACAGCTGGACCCTTCTCTTTCAATTACCCCTTTCTTTCCCCAATCCTTGCTGGACTGCTCACTCATCACCTCGTCCGTGTGCTCTTCATAAATGGAGAAATGAATTGTTTTTTTCCTGGCGTCTGCTGCGTGCTCGTTTTTTTCCAGCCAAAAGCCCCTTTTTTTTTCTTTTTGACGCTACCCTCCGTTGCTGCTGCCTTGGACCAAGACCGTGACACTTGCTGTCCGCGTGGGTTGACGCTGCTGCTGGGTGCGTGAAGATAGCTGGATGTCACCTCAAGTTTAGTCCAAGCACCTCAGTGAGGGTTTGAAGGTAGGAGTGGAAACGAAGCAGCTTGGGCAGAGGAGCGGAAGAGGTGAAAGGAGAGGAAGAAGAAGCACTGTAGCCACAGAGATTTGATGATTTTAAAACACATCACTCGTTCAATTAAATGCATAATGCTACGCCATCAATGCAAAAAATACAACTCAACCTAATTTAACGCCATTTGGAACAATTTAACGGTTAGGGTAAAATTTGCTCATTTTTACAAAAAAATATGACCCAATTGAGATCGAAAAAAAAAACGATGACCCATTTGAGATTTCCATATAAATAAGAGGACCAACTGAGGGTTTAAACCTTAAATTTACTCTTTAATATATTTATTTGACAGGTAGAAATTCAATTTCTAGGCACTCAAATTTCTAAACCTATTTCTATCTACGCTTGATAATTGTGAGGAAAGGTACAAGTTGGATTTATGTTTTTTCAAAAGTTTTAGTTGGCGTGGCAATATCATCCAAGAAAAAAGAAAACAATATACAAGCTATCTACCACTTTTTTTCTGTCATTTATGGCTTTCCATTAAATGTGAAGCGGAGCACGTGAGAGGATCTTGGTGACTCTATAAGAGGTGGCTATTCATCTTCTTCCCAAACCACCGTTCCTATTTCCACAGTTGGCCATGGAAGATAACAACAAGGCTTCATCTCCTGCTTCAACAACCGAAGGAAAACCAATACGATGCAAAGGTATGCCATCTTCCGTCGATTTCTTAATGTTTACTTCTCACAAACTCTTCGATTGAGGTTTGATTATCATCAGAGCGTTTTCTGAATTTCTTTTCGTTGCGAAATTGCAGCTGCAGTTGCTAGAAAAGCTCGTGAGCCATTGGTGATTGAAGAGATAACTGTGGCGCCACCATTGCCCAGTGAGGTGCGGATTCGTGTTATCTGTTCCTCTCTCTGCCACAGTGACCTCACTTTTCGGAACCTCCAGGTTGTTTATTATTTCAATTTTAATTGTTTTATTCCAATATATTACATTTTAAATTTTTGTTTCAATAAAATATCTTAATTATTATTAAATAACATTTAATAATGATACTTTTTATCCGATTTCTTTTTTAACTTACGTTAATAATGATTTTTTTGAAAATTATTTTGGACTAATTTGGATTACGTTACAATATAATTAAGTTGATGATATTTTAATCATAACTGATGATATCTGCTTACAGTGAAATTAAATCGATGATATTTTAATCATAAATGATTCGATTATATCGGTCAAAATTAATTTAACAATGATTTTTATAAGATTAAACTAATAATATCTTAGTTAAGATGGAGTGATGAGAAAATATGAAAAGAAAAAACATAGAAAAAACAAAAATAAGTATAGAACTTTCGAAATTCTTACTTTTAACTGAAAATAAAAATTTTATATTCATAAGATTTTAATATTTTAATTTATTTTAAAAAATTATCCATATCACCTATTTTATGTTAAAACATTCCAAAAGATTTTATAAGAGTGAATAATTCTCTATAAATTTTCATCCAAACACAATATAAAACTTTGTAATTCCACCCATAAAAACTTAAATAAAATAAATGAGCTTCTCCATTAATTAAGATTAATTTATAAAAAAGTTTTAAAAAAATTTAAATAAACTATATGAAAGAGGTTCTATAAATAACTTATACATAAATTAATTTGTGAAGAAATTTATTTCAATTTTTTTTTTATATTTTTATCTCTTAAAAGTGCTTAAGAAGAAACTCATTTTAACATGTCTAAGCAGATCAGACATTGCAGCTCCAAACTATATGATTTTTGTTTTGTACTTTTGTTTTCTTTTGAAGGTTCCTCCTGCCATTTTTCCAAGGATTCTGGGTCATGAGGCATCTGGGTAAGTTTCTGTAGTTTTGTCAATTTTATAATGGTTTTATTTACTGAAACTTTATCTTATTCTCCTGAATATTCAATATAAATAAACTACTAGAGCTTTATATAGGTGTTCAGTAATAGATTATTTCTGGGAAATAATTTATTTCTTGAAAAACATGTTACTAAAAATAAAATAAATAATTAGTTCTTAAAAAAGCTAACCTGAATGAGCACAGTAAAAGATTTTGAATAGCAGTAGTTGTTGGTAGATTTGGGCCAATGGCATTCTGATATAGGCACTGGGGTTCCTTGTTGTTAGGCTCTGATTCTAACTTTAAGAAGTGGTTTAAATATAATATTAGGTTGTAAAATTGACATGTAAGATAAGTATTATTTGTATAATGTGATTCTATTTAAAGTAAAACTTTATCTTTATTTTTATCATATTTAATAGGTATTAAATATTTATTAAATGTTTATCAAATAATGGATATATTTGTATCTACATTTATATTGTTTCACATATTAATTAAATTACTTTTTACAAAATAAAACAAACAAAATCATATAAAAGAAAATATGATATTGTCAATACTTTAATGTTAAAAGGAAGCATATTGTATAGGTGTGATAAAACTGGATTGTTTGGCGGTTTTGGTTTGGTTCACGAGAAATGAGTGGATCGGGCTGATTCACCAATAGAAACAGGGGTCGATTACTTTTTTTTTTTAATTTTTAAAATTTGTTTATATATATAAATATTAAAAGTATATTTAATTATATAAATATTTTATAATACTTTTATTGATTAATTAATACTTCTAATAAGATAAATTAAAATAATTACTGTATTTATATGTTAAATTATTTTATTATAAACGGTTAATGATTTAAATTACATTGTATATGTATATTAAAAAGTGGATTAATAAATTAGTTTATATTGACCTACTTTTGGCCTACCAATTTGGTAAGCTAGATAAGATGGATTGGTGGGTCGACCTAACTGTAAGCTGTTTTGCTATCTCTAATCCTGTAATACATGTAGACATTTTTGTTCAAATTAAAACAAATTTGAACAATGACCATAAAGACATATTTATCTATAATTCCTAACGTGTAGATAACAAAATTAGAATCAATAGATTTTGTTAAGAAAGTATATTGAAAAGAAAGAAAATAATAGGAAATATGACAAACTCTCTGTGTTTACAAAATAAAGCACAATTTATGCAAACACAAAATAACTTTTTATTATTATACTAGGCCAATGTAGAATATGTAAACAGATGTAAATTGAACTTTATAAGTCTGTTTTGTAAGATTAAATTTGACTTAAAATTTATTTCTTAATAAGAATAACAATCGTTGGTGAGTGTGATGGTGATGAGCAACCAGAACTATTCAAATTGTGATTTTAGTCATGATTTTAACAACAATGCTTGTGGATTTTGTAACTCAAGCCACAATTCAATCCGATTCAGAATAACTCATGCGATTTGGAGATCGAATCATACTATACGAAAGCAAAAATAAGTTTTCAAGGGATTTATGATGGAGGTGGAGAATCCTATGATATCGTATTATTCATATGTGTATCATACAATACTTACTACCATGCCTTCAAGTAATATAATATAAAATGTTAATATTTCAAATTATTTTTAATTTTAAATTTTAATTTTAAAGAAAATGGGCCTCCAAGCTAGTCCACCTTGATCTGCCTTTGATTTGCAAATTTGGTGAGCTAGGTAAGGTGAGTTGGCAGGTTAGCTTGTGGACTGTGACTGACTTTGCTATCTTAATATTATAAGAGTTTAATCAATTGAACACTTAAAATTTAGATATTCTTGTATGAAAAAAGAAACAATAAATAAAAGTACTGAAAAGGAATAAAATAATGAAATGTGTATCTTAGAAACTAATTGATTTAATGAAATTGAGGTTTAGATATCCTCAAATGTCAAACAAAGAAAAAAATTATAATTGAAATTGTGGTAATAGAAAAAATGCCTTACGAACATGAAAGAATTTTATGAATATTTAATAAGTTAAAGAACACCTAAGAAAGAAAATGAAGATTTATGAGACAAAATAAAGTAATAAGGATTACCGGAAAAGAATAACAAAATAAATTTCTTAGATTACCTTATAACTTAAAACGGGAGACAAATACGGAAGTGAGTACAAGGACGGCACAAGGATGGAGACGATTTACCCATGCTCATTTTTTAATTTTAAAATTTAAGTATTATCTATATATATTCAATTAATATAGAGATTTTTTTTAAAGTCGAGACAAATTTGAAAAATACCAAAGAAGACAAATTTATCGGTCATCCTAATGTGCAGATGGCACAATAGAATCTGATTTTGTTAAGAAAGTATATTGAAAAGAAAGAAAATAATAGTAGATTCTCGTTGTTTAGAAAACAGTCATTCAATTTATTAGAGGAGATACACGATTAGTTACCCTATTTTAGGCTAATAGATGAATATCAGTCTAGCGGCTCTAATATTATCAGTATGTATATAATTCCTACATATCTACAAAATTCTAACAAGAATATATATAATTATGAAGGAAAGAATTACATGTCTGATTTTGGTTTCAACAAAATTAGTGGAATACTGATTTACGATGAGTATTTTGTCACTATATATGTTTCTCCATTTGTCTTATGATGGCTGTAAATTATTTGCTGCCTTTTGCGTTATCTAATTTCTTTTGCTTCTGGGATTTAATCGATTTTAAACCTAATTTAATTCTACAGATTATCTACTTATATATTATAAATTAGTCTTATCTATAAGTTAGTTTATCTTGTACGTGAACTTCTAACAATTCAAACATACAAGGCTTAAAAGCTGATGATATGCTTGATTTCGATAAGTTTTTATATGATTACAGGGTTGTGGAAAGTGTAGGGAAGGATGTAACTGAAGTTAGAAAAGGTGATGTGGTTATTACAGTTTTCTTACCAGAATGTGGGGAATGCATAGATTGCAAATCAAGCAAGAGCAATCGTTGTTCTATTTTCCCTTTCAAGGTGTCTCCCTGGATGCCTCGAGATGGTACCTCTAGATTCACCGACAAGAATGGAGACATCATAAGCCATTTTCTGTTTATTTCAAGCTTCAGTGAGTACACTGTGGTCGACATTGCCAATATTATCAAGATTGATCCACAAATTCCTCCTGACAGGGCATGCCTTCTTGGATGTGGTGTTTCAACAGGCAAGTTTCTTTCACAATTACTTTATACAAGAACATTTTTTCTTCTCAAAAATATTAACAAATATTTTAAACACATTCTTTATCGTTAGTTGAATTTTAGTCACTTTTATTAATTATTCAAGGAAAAATAACGGCTTTAGTAAAATTAATATTCACATATTTTATTTTTAGTATAATAAGAAAATTTTATCATCTTAATATAATAAATTTAATTGTTTTAGTTTTGTTTAAACTTTATTGATGATTAATATAATTGAGTACAGGTTTGATAATATAATTGAGTACAAGATATATAATAGTTATTAGTGTGTGTAACATCCCAAAAATACAGTAATAAACCATATGATAGAATAATTATATTAATAATAATCCAGATTAGTCTTACACTAGAGACGAGCGTACGCTCATGGCCGAACGGCCTTACTGAAAGAGTTACAAATTTAAGCCGTACCTCACTACACAAACTATACGACCGGTTTACAAAATAACAATACTGATCGTTCATACTTAAACAAAAGGGAAGGTGAGCGGACGTCCACCTTACTATAACTAGACTATTGACCGAACGTCCTACTCTTCGGTCTTGACTTCGATTTCTTCCAAATATTCTTCTTCCAGCGCCTCTTTCAGCAGCTCATCTCCTTCTGCTCACATCCACACGGATGATCATTGCAACGACAAGGACGAACGTACAAAACCAGACACGACAGGAAACGCAGGGTAAGCTTATGTAATTTAATTCATGCATAAACATACATTTCAATAATTCAACACCAGATAAATTTCAACGTACGTATCATACAAGCCTATCACTAGACTGACTGTCCGGACTGTATGAAATCTGCGTAGCTACAGGCGTTTGTGCACCCGGGTGATGTAGTAACTGGAATACTCTCATCAGCTGCCACCCGAGGTTAGTCCGTTCCGTCCAAAGTACCCCTAAGGACTAGGACCTCTTGCCGTTCCCACACATGACCTATCCTCCTCTACGTGAGGACGAGTACTCACGGAACATCAGGATGAACTGCCAGCATTAGCATGCCCACAGTCATACTTTACCAATTTCAATATTCATCCATGAGTCGTTCCTCCCTGGAACGCTCGTTCAAATCCACATCATTTCATTCATATCACATTCTCTTCCTATTTCATTCATAATCATTCTCAATTTCATCTTTCATTATCACTTTTCTCAAATTCATCTTTCATTACCAATAATTTAAATTTCATCTTTGTTCAAAGATTCTTATGGATACTCGATACCGAACGTTCAATCCTCACTCAGAGCGAGGACGAACACTTGGAACGAGACAGAGAGATCTCTAGTTCCAGAATAGAATAAGACCGAGAGGGTTACTATCGAATTACGAAAGAAATCGAGGTCAACTGCATATCGCAAGAATGACTAGAACGGACGTTACTTATAAAGTGAGTCAATTAGATGAACTGACCCTTGAGAGTTCTAACCGAACGTAGAAAGAATTAGGCCAAATACTAAAGCTCTAAGCCGGAACCAAATGGACGTATACACTTCAAGACTTTCAGAGCAGAATACTTAGAAGGATTCACCTGAAGAAACCGAACGCTTAAGAATCTTTAGCTTATTTAAATTTACATCAAGAATTCCGAATGCCAGTCAATGACCGAGCACGGTGAAGGAGAAGATTTTATTTAAGTTAGACGAACGCTACTTTTCGTCAACATAAATTATATAAGAAACGATAACGAGCGCTTGGTGTAGAACCGAGCACTACTCTGTACGAGCGCTTGGTGTAAGACCGAGCACTAATGAACTTAAAATAAAAGGCTTGATAAATATAGTCAGATACTATAGAAGTAGGGTATACGAACAACGAAAATATACCTTTACATATATATAAAGATTTAAGTTATCACAGGATACCCAGATACAACTGTGCTTGGCCGAACGCTCAAGCATAGTTTTATTACTCGAGGACGCTCGTCCTCAACTAGGATTCTCTCCAAATGAAAGAATCCCATTTCAACTATGTTTACCAGAAGAACCGAACGGTCAATAACCGTTCAGTTACGAACGTACACTTTCATATGAGAAATTTTATATTCAGAATTTATTTGTATTTATCTCCTTTCTTAACATATAGTTTCATAACTTTATACATTCATATCATGATCAACTTTCATACTTCATACAATCCATATCATATAAGGTTCATATCTTTCATGCATTAAAACATAACTCAACCATATGTCATTTAAGGTTCATATCTTTCATGCATTAAAACATAACTCAACCATATCTCATTTCCACTCATTAAACAAACGAACGTTCATGCAATCTAATCATATCAATCATCATGCATCAAAGTCATTCAGTCAAATAACGAACGTTCATCCAGTACAACAACATACAAATACAAATTAAATTAAATAAGCTTCCCTTACCTTAGAGCGTGAACGTACGTCCTACAGACTGAGACTCAGTTCGCCGAACTACGATCCTTTCTACCCTCAACGCTCAACGACTCTTCGAACCAAAATAAAACATAGTCCAAACTCGTTCAGAATGAAACTAAGAACCCATGCAACCAGAACTTGGTTTGCATGTTTTCAAGAACGAACGGTTAAAGACAAGGAAAACTTACCCGTTCAGAATTTGAAACCAATCGGATCAAACTAAAGCTTGGGACGCCGGAAGTGCTCCTACGGTGCCTGAATGGAGATCGGAGAAGAGAAAGTGAGTGTTTACTCAGAGAGAAGATGAAGATGATGTAGAGAGAAGGAGGATATAATGAGGTTCTTCAGAAACGTGAAAAGAGGGTGCATGTAGAGAGTGGAGCAGATTTTCTGAAAATCCAAGTTTTGCTGCATTCGTCACAACGAACGTCCCCTCTTCAGTCGACACCTGCTTTCCACTAACTGATTTTCCGAGTCTCCTTCGCTTGACACCTGGCGTTCGTCACCTGAGTGTCGAGCCTTCCTCTTGACACGTGAATTCCACTAACGACACGTGTTTGGATTTTACTGGTTTGTGTTTATTAAAATGAAAATTAATATTAATATGTAATTAAGGGAGCGTTTTACCTTTTGTTTAACTTTTTGTAAATTTTAAAAAAGTCTTTTATTCTTTATTTTTTTTTTTGGTTTTGTAAATTTAAAATCGTTACTAATTGCTTTAAGGTTTAATTGTATATTAATATTAATTTTCTTTATATTAAGTACAAGTGAAAATACTTATGTTATGTGCACGTGGGTTTATTTATTTTTAGATAGTAAAGAATAATAAAATTGTTATAATTATTATTTTTATTATTATAATTATAAAGTTAAATATGAATAAGTTTTATAATTGTATTGTAATTAATTTTTATTTATTTTATATATAGTTTTATAATTAAAAAATAATTAAATTTTAAAAAACGGATAATTTAAAAAAACGATTAAATTTAAGAAAACAGTTAATTAAAAAGAAAAACAGTTTTATAATAAAACAGTAACTCCCAATCATAAATATCATGATAAAAATAAAACAGAAGGATGAAAAGCCAAAAAAAAAAGAGAATCTGGGTTTATGATATTAGGCATTACTAGCATGGAGTGTAAAGATAAGGTATAAAAAAAATATAAATATATAAATATGTCGAGCATCTAAGCTACCCTTAAGCTGAAATCTAACGTACAACTTTGCCCATAAGCTGAAATGTAATATCATATTAGCAAATCACACCGATGTTTTATTGAATGTTATAAAATGCTGCTTCCACATGTAGGGGTAGGTGCTGCTTGGAGAACCGCTGGTGTGGAAGCAGGGTCTACAGTAGCCATATTTGGGCTGGGGTCTATTGGATTAGCAGTATGAACTCTTTCAACAATGTTTACTTTTCTTTGTAACTTTGGTTATCTGTGCTAAAATGCTTGTTGCAATTCATTGCCTGCATAGGTTGCAGAGGGAGCAAGACTTTGTGGAGCAACTAAGATTATAGGTGTTGACGTCAATCCAGAAAAATTTGAAATTGGTAATGCACTGTTTGTTTAGTAACATCATAGTAACCATTTATTGTTAACCATGCTCCAATTATTAAGCTACAAAAAAGGAGAAAGAGATGTAAGGGTGCAAAGGATATTGTAGTGACTACTAAGGCTGACTCTTAATTTTTTGAGTCTCAATTTTTTAATTGAGTTATATATATTTATACTACTTTGGTTAATACCAAATGATTTTAAATCTGACAAGGGAAATCCTGGAATGGCTAATCCAAATTTAGTTTCTATCATATATGTTTTTTGTGATTTCTTTCGATGTTGTTCAAGCATGAATTCTAAATTTGATGGGTTTGTTCTTCTCTTTCAATCAGGAAAAAAGTTTGGAGTCACAGATTTTGTCCATGCCGGAGAATGTGGGGACAAACCTGTGAGCCAGGTCTAACCTTTATGCAAACACCAATCTTTAATTTTTGTTGAAATCCCTTTCTCTTTGCATGTGATGAAATGAAAAGATTAAAAGAATTTTCTAATATTGTACTTTATATATATATATATATATATATATATATAT